ATGTAGTAAAATATTAAAAGTAGATACGGAATTTCCTCAAGTTTTAGACTGTTTATTGCCTCTTCCGTTTTATCTATTATCTACGGAAGTGTCGAAATACTGGTGATATCGATTTATTGTTTAATAGTAAAAATGTAACTAAATGAACTGATAGCACCTTTATAGAGTCCGAAGGTTTGATTTAAAATTGCGATTATTATTCCAATATTGTATTATTGTTTCTTGTGACTGGGATCATATCGTTTGTGCAATGGTTGCCACGCGCGCCGCAGACGCCGGTATTTTGTGGCAGATGTGAGCATACGCCACATCTTACTGTGCTCCTAGAACAATTCTATAAATGTTAATTACAGGCAAACGTTGTATTAAATGAACTTTATGGTTTAATTAAAAATATATTTTGAAATACATCGACATAAAGCATACAGTATTCTGTATACTTATATTCTAAGGTCTAATTGAAAAAGTAGATATGGAAAGAAGTTATGTTTTAAAGAAGATGGAATATAAAAAGCGACAAAGGTGAGCCACGTCCACGGCAAATGAAAATCTATTATCTGCCTACTAGTGCTTTGAGTCGCTTGTGTGAGTTTTTTCATTCATAAAGTTCATCATTTACTACATATTTAAAAATACTGCTGTGGTCGTAGTGGAATGTTGTGGTACAAAATTAGACAATATATACGATATAAACAAGGAAACAGCTTTCCTATTACAACGTCAGCCACGCCTGTTCCAACGTGATGTAAATCCGAAAAACGTATATACATTTTAAAAGCGGAACCACTCGCATACTGAGTCAGTCGCGGGAAATAATAAGGCATGGGTACTATATTTAGTATATTAGTACTATGAATAGATGCGCCCACGATACGTGGCCGTGTAAATCAACGCCCGACTAATGTATTACAAACTCCGATGCATGCCCGTCTGACACGGGAACCAAAACATTTTCTCCATTTCATATTATTCCATTACTAGCTGTCGACTGCGACTCTGTCCGCGCGGAATTTTAAAAAACTATCTTTATTCTGTGTTAAATGCAAGTTGCAACTGGTAAACCTAACAATATACTAATGAGTCATACCGGTTCCTATTGTTCCAATTAACAGGTAGAAAGTTAGCTTCTTCGAGTTCTCCGAATAAAACAAAAGATTGGTCAATTGGTATCCCTTAATTTGCATTTTAAGTAAACTTTCTCACAACATAAGTTGAATAGACATGTTTCTTAAAACATATTAACATTACTTAAAACTTTATAATAGAAAATATTTTCAAGACCTGTAATTAATACAGCTCGGAAATGGTTACATTACTTAAATGTTGCTAAATTCTTCACTTGTTTTCTTAAGGGCTGCGCAACAAGTATACGCTTGATTATTTGAATCAAATAATCAAAGATTGATTTTTTTCAATGATTACAACAACAGGAACAAGATTTTCGAAGCAGTTTTGATTAATATTAGACCATTGATGGACGTTAGGTTCTATTTAAATTAATTAATAAATGCATTTATTGGATGTTTTGGGGCATTTAGTGACTGGATTTGTTATTGAATTTAATCTATTTTGTCCAGTAAGAGGTCCAATGTTCACTAATTATAATTAAAGTAATGGTAATTGTGAAAATATAATACTGAGATGTGTATAGTTTGCAAGGTATTTGAGTGGTCCGTAGTAAAGGGCAGGAGCGATGTGTCGGCTCGGCTGTCGACTGTCGGCACATGGCCGGGCCACCGCAATGCGGCAACGTTCTATGTACACTACACGAGCCACTCTCCACCCGCTAATACTGCCGTTTTATTTATAACATTCGACGCACACTACAAATATTCGTAGCGCCCGAACGCCGAGACAACCTAATCATATAGGTTATTAAAAAGCGCAATGTAATTGTTCCACAAATTATTTGGATTCAAATCGCGAGTATCCGGTACTTTTACATATTATAAACTCGATCCTTGTCTTCCATAGTAAACATAACTTGTGAGCATTAACATAACAATATGCATTAATTAAATGTTAATTAATAAAATGCAGTTTTTATTTAAGTAACAAATATTAAGGTATTTTTGTTCCTGTCTCTCATAGTATTATCTTTCTTATTCATTTTATGACTTAGCAAGCTAAAGTGCATCCGAATGTAAAAAGAATTTGTAATAAATAAAATTAAAAAAAAAATCCATATTAGGTGGAGCAGTCATTTGTTTTGTTTGTAGTACACTACAGCTGACATTTCCATTTTGTTACACGAGGCTTTGTAAACGCACCTGTCAATGCAGTGTCCGCCTCTCCAAGGCTGCGCAGACGTCGATGTGTTTAGTACCGGCTCGTTTCGGCTAAGCGATTTGTGCCGGCGTGTTTCGGCAAGAAGTTAGTGCCGGCGTATTTCGGCCGAAGCGCTCCCCGACCGATTGAGGTGCTCGACGGATGCGTGCGATTATAATTAGGATTGTATTTCTGATTCCGACGAAGCTCAGTATGGCGGAGCTCCGTTGAATTCCATCTGAGTCATTGTGCCCGTTCCGTAGCCTTTATTTTCGTAAAACACTTAACCCTTCCGAGCGCATCATTGTTCCATCTTTACCTTTGCTAATTAATGTGTAAATTTAATTTTCGTCACACAATTATTACGTTTCAAATAGTTTTTAATTTGAAATGGTAACATTGATATTTATAGCTTTATTGAGCTAAGCAGAGATAGCAATTTCTTTGTTTATTAATTTCATAAGTTATGCAATTATTCTTATTTGCAAATTAGTTGTTGATAATTTTGAATTATAATTATAGCATAAATAAATGTAAACAATCTAATTTTAATACGTAGTGTGAAAATAAATTTTTCACAACAAGCAACAAGTTCCAAATAGTTCTAGATGTTATTTCGTTGAATAAAAATGAGTTCAAAATCCATTGAACCTACTTACCCGTTTTATTTTCCTGTCACAGTCATTAATTTAAAAAATTGGCCGCACCATCGTTGAAAGAAGAATGAGTTGTGTTTACATACATCTGTCTAACTTTCTCAAGCGCGAAGAATGGAAATCATCGCCAGTTTGTAAAGCTACGTTTTCACTGTGTCATTCTAATTGTACGATTCTTCCCAAGGTTATTTTACATTAAATTGAAATTTTATGCATTTATTATAAATGTTTAATTAATTTTATTAATATAACTATATCAAGAATATGTACACCCTAGTTAGTTAAAGTTTTAAAAAATAAAATTTAAGTCAAAATTGTGTTAAAAAAGTTAGAACCATGTAAATACTTGGCAATGTTTTTATTTTTTAAATATTCTATTTGCTACAATAAATTATTTTTATATGTACGAGTATCAATAACGGTAAGTCAACATAACTTCATAGATAAAAATCTTAATTTTTTACGAACATAGACATATGATCTCATTATAACAATGAAGGTGACGCCTTACTTCGTTTACGGAACCTATTTGGCCGTGATTTTATTACCAAATGAATGTATAAAACAATACATTTTCAATTGCCTTGATATCTTGAATTTCGAGGCGAATTGTTTCGGCGAGAAAACTTCTGTTCACCGTTATACTGATATTACAAAATTATATCATATGGTTTAAATGTGTAAAAATCTATGAAAATGTTTGTTTATGTTATGTATAAATTCATTAAATACTTTAATGCGAATATTAACACGCATGGACGCTTACCCGCGTGTGAGGTTTGTTCGTTCCACGTTTCGACTACACGCATGAATTTGTTGATGTAAAAATTACTTTATTCGGATTAATTCTTCTTAGAAAGTCGTAAGTACTACGATTATTATGACACACTCAGTGTTGTTTTAGTAAGACTTAAATGTATTACCTAAATAGTTAGTGAAACTGCCCCTTAAGCAATAAATATTCGTTTCACATTCGAGTCGCGACTTCCAGATATAATAGACGAGCGGCATGTGTGTACGCTTACGTTAGAATATAACAAAGTTTAAAAACAAATTATATTTAATATTGGGAGTCATCTACGGTCGAATCTAAAAATCAAAGATTGTTTTAATTACTATATGATGCAGGGAATTGTAAAATAAATCGTATTCTCTCTTAATGATTGATTAGTTTTTTTTCGAATGTTAAATTTTTTTATTTAAAACCATTATATCTATACCATTAGTATATAGTATAAAGAGGAAAAAATTGTATTTTTTTTATTTTTGAAGTTATTCAAAAACTACTTAAGCGATTTAAAAAATTCATGCACCATTCAAAAGCTATGTTATCACAGAGTTACTATTTTTTTTTAATTTAACGAGGCTAAAGTTATTAACAGACAGTTAATTAAATAAGTCAAATGGATATAATTAAATCTTAAGTTTCACCACAATCACACTGAAATCGTATTAATTAGACATGAAAGTAACAATCTAAACATCTTAAACATAACAATGGTTAGTTACACGTTTATTTCCTATAAATAGCGACACACACACATAGATTATCATTTATGTAAGCGCGATAAATCAATAAAACGGAGATAACAAGTCCATTTCAAGCTGATAATATTATTAACAATAACACATTCAATATTCAACTTGGAAGTAAATTGAAAAAAAAAGTGAATAATTTCTACACGTGAAAACTTATTTGAGTATTTTTTGGATAATAGTTAACTTCGATAACCAATAATTTCTTGAAGATAAAATAAAAACTTTATTTACGTAAAAATGTAATGCTTCGTTTCATTTATAAGATACTTGCCTGGTCTAATGATCGTTTTATGGATGTCGATATTTCAGTGGTATTTGACCTTGACAATTGCAGCTGTTACAGTTACCGTCTAGTTTAACTTTGTTGCCTTTATTCCACGAACTTATAACAACTTTTTAATTTCCTTAGAAAAATAAATTTTAGCAAACTCAATAGAAAAAATACCAGATGGCGCTACGCGTAACACATCTGTATCATTTGCAAGCGTAAACAACATTATGATAAAATAAAGATAATAAAAGAAACTATTATCATACCTTTCTCTAATTCCGTGTTGAAGACATCTGATAATAGATTCTATGTCTATCGTCACACGTTAGAATTACGAAAAATCACACAATAATTTATAATCTTTAGATAATGAATCAGATACTGGCAACATCTACGTACTTTTTCCGATGTTAACAAGGTCATAATAAAAAAATAAACATAAATAATAATTTGGCGTAACGAAACAGTGATGGAAACGAAGCGATTGCGAGTCACGGCGCGCGCGGCGACATATTTCCCGGGCGAAGCGCGGAACAGGTTTTTGCCAAAGGGAGGTGCAGACATGCGCTTGCCACACTGCATTATATGCCACTTACGACCCGCTCTAATATCATTAACTCTCTATTCAAATTTCATGCAAAATTCCGTAATCTAAGCTGTAATTGAAATATATGAAAAAAACTTCAGTGAAAGATTTCAGTTGACATGTAAAATGTAACGTATATTAATTCTGGAAGTATTTTATAAAAGCGCCAGGGGGTGATAGTTTAATTAGATTTTATTAGAGATATTCTAAATAAAAAATAACACGTGTTTATGAAAAGAGAACATAAGGTGTAGTCTTCTTATCTTCAATATGTTTACATTAAGAAGACGCATGTAATAGATAAATGTATTCCATCCTATATCACATTTAATATCAAAAAGAAACGAAACACGTTCACTTAATGTGAGTCTAAAACGAGAGTCCATAAAACTAACTTACACTATAAGTATTTAATTGTACTAATAAAGCGTTATACTAACAGAGACAATACTTATTTAGTAATTAACGCTTGACTTCTTTTAATTCTAGAGGTTTTTAGCTAGCAATAATTGTCCAGATATTGAACTCCCGCGCAGAGGCGCGCTTGCGTTGCAAAACCGGCGTGTTGACGATAATAGCCGGCTCATAAAATAAACACGGCGACCGTGATTTATAGCCAGTGTCAACGGGGAAAAACTGACTTTTTAATTCTCCGCTTTCAACGCTTTGATGATGAGCTATTGTTGACCGACTGGCTGTGAGATGTGTTCGACGCCAGAGAACTAACGGCTTCCTGCTATTTAAGAAAACGGTGCAAATAAATTACAGATTATAAATAGGGAATTATATGATTATCTGTGTAAAAACGTAAAAGTTTCGGGTTGCGTTCACTGGATAAGGACAAGAAATAAATAGGAATCAAAACTGGCGTGTTATTGAAATATCAAAGATAGTAATAAAACAAAAGAATGGAAAAGTAATTCGACATCGTGTTTCTTAGTACACTTTGGTTACTGAGACGCAATTAGCTTATCTTGTTATCTCTCTTAAACATTTTGTTGCAATGCCCTTTACATCACGTAAGAGCTACCTATATCTATCAGCATAACATTATTACAAACCTGTAGGCAGAGACAGTGCTACGTGCTTTTATGTGGATAATGCATTATCGCGAACCATTCAACGTCATTGTTATTATCTGAAATGATAAGATTTTCAGCATTGCAGGATGAAGCCAAGCGAAACACGTTTTAATTATCACCGTTTCGTATCGCTTTTTGCCACAAATATTTAAATGCTAATTAGACCAAACATTTTCGATGAATACAATAAGTAAATAAAAATTCACGCACTCTAACTTAGAGGTAAGCTGAGATACATAAATGGAAGTTAAACATCTTTTTGGATAATTAACCTTTTGATTCTAAAACTGTGTAGTCAGTGTCGACGGCACTGCCGATGGCGACACATTGGAACGCGGACAAGGCGCGTTGCGCACGCGCAGCCGCTTTCCCGACTTTCCAGCCGACAAACTAACGAAATACATACTGTATCTAAATATTTGTTGACGATCATTATTATAACCTTCAATTAGATTACTAATTTGATGATGCTTACTTAATCAATTTGACAAATTGTTATTATTTTGACAATTTGCAAATTGTCACCGGCGTAATATTTCAACCTGTATTGACGTGTCAAGCCATTAAAATAAATCAAACAAATTGTATAAAGGCGTAGCGAGGACGGACGAGTCACTCGTCCTCTATCGTCATGCGCAGGTAGAGACCGGAGGACGACATGCCCATTGTTTATCGCTGTTAATTATTATGCCCGAACTCAGACAGACGCTGCCGAATGCCGCGGCGCTGCCTGACCGCTCCCGCAAAAAATACTATGAAATATCTACCTGAAAATAAATCTAGATCATACTTTAACATGTTCTTTTTTTGTAGTAACAAGTGCATCATTTAAAAATTTGTCAAGTGTACCGAAATTGGATACATTTGACATCTAACGATCTTCAGGGGAATATGGATGTAGGATATCTCCATTCGACACATCCATGTTCTTTGAATCCGACTGCCGTACTCCAACGAGCAACGAGCGAGTGGCGCGCGCTCGATTGAGGACCGTTACGTGAAACGTCGAGTGCGCGAGGCGGGGCACGGGCGGGGCAGGGCAGGGGTATGACGCCGATGGCGGCCGAGCGGTGCCGAGCTTTGCCGGGAGGTGCCGAGCGCAACGGGCTAGGGGCACGGGGCGTGGGGCGGGGGTGCGCCACTTTACCGCGCGGACTGGCAACGTCGCACGGTAGGCGCCCCGCGCGCAACCTCTCACTCACCGTTGCCGTCGCCGGCTCGCCATCGCCATCGCCAGTGTTACCTTTGACGGTCGACCGTGTGGTTGCTCGATGTCAGTGACGTCGGTGTCGGCGCTCGCGATACACGTCTATGATGTTTCGGTAAATACAAAGTCGGATTCGTGAGTGAACGATAATAATAAATTTATTATCAAATGTTGGAACACAGTGACAGGTGCAAATATTATACATTGGATTTGGATTTTTTA